AACTAGGCAGATTTTCACGGAACTTTTTTTGGCGTTATATATCATGGTCTTATAGAACTTATTGAAATATTACGGTCTTACGACAAGTAGTTTAATTTTAAAAATTCATAAAAAATTGAGAAAATGAGTAGGTTTTTGGCGTTTGTTAAAATTAAAATTAGACGATTTACTTGGTTAACGATAGAGTTCTTGGTCTTAATGAACATACTAAACCATTAAACCTACAGAATCTGTTTCAATTATAAAAATTGGTAATTTTTGAAAATTGGTATTTAGAAAATACTCAGAGATAACGTGTTCGTCCGTTTTCAATTCTGTTTAAAAAAAATCCTCTCGGAAAACTTTTAATCATTCATAAATTAATTTATTTTTTATTGATTAAGTCGATTATTTACACATATCGGGAAGTTCATGTTAATATCATGCTCAAGGCTAAATACCAAACCAACTAGTTTGTTTTATTATTTTTAAGGAACAGGGTGAAATATTCTTCTGATTCATGCATTTTTCATTAAATCAAGATTTGTACCATCATGTAACATTAAAATGTTTATCCTGATTGATATCGGTACGCATACAACGTTGATGCCATTACGGTACGCATACAACGACAGATCTCTATTCACATACACGACGACTAATCACAATCGACCCGTATAGGAATGATATCATCGAGAGCGAATGACGAATCTTTGACACTCGACTCTTATCTTATCGACTCTTATCTACCGTAACGAACTTCCGTTGCATTTGTACGAATTTACACCTTAGTCGTGCTTAAAAAAGGTACTTTTTACTTCAAAAATTTATAAATTTTGTGTCAAAAACATGATCTCCACTTTTGGTAAAATTATAATTTCTGCAATAAAATTCCTTGACAACTATCAGGAATTTAAATCTACTACCCTCAGTGTACAATTACCCACTTTACCCACGTATACCCTTTTCCTTGCCCACATGGGTCTTGTTAAACCACGCGTGTGTCTACGGAATAAAAGTTTCGGGTATTGTTTGAATTTATAATGTTCGTTTTCACAGCCAGCGAAAAGTTTGCGATAATTCTCACATAAATCTATGTGTATGGTGTATATATTGTTGTAGTTGTGTTAGTTGCCATTTTTCTTTCACAATTCGCAGTTTTCTTCTCAAAAGTTCTAAATAAAAGTATTTTCTCGACTGCTGCTACTGGTAAAAGGAGGTAGTCAAGTATCGGATTCGCCGGCGACAACTTATAGAAATTGAGTTTGCCAACGATAGGAAATAGACAGGGAGCTGGGGATAGAGGATACTCATCCTAAAATTATGGGGTTATATAAAAATTCTTCAAAATTTGATTGGCTTTGAGAGTTGGACTACTGGAGAGTGGCTTCGTTCTCATTCCTACTCAAAACCGGGTAATACACCGTATAGTCTGAAAATTGACTGGAGATTCACAAAAATTGGGAAATAATAAAATAACAAACTGTATCAATTATCTCATTATGTATAAAAATGAAGCTCTCGATAAAATGATCCGCTAAAACTCGAATCCGGCTAAACCGATTTGGCCAGTCTTAGTCTTGAATAATTCCTGCTAATCAGTAGATTGTCGGAAAGGTGAGATATTATTTCAAAATCGCGTAGAAACTTTTCATTTTTAATTTGAAAATTTTTGTACAAGCGTAATTTGAATAAAACAATGGACGGTGGCTAATACGTCAAATGTCCAATGTTTTTGACAGATGTTCGATTATATTTAATAGGATGTTTTACGTGAATATTATTTAATTATGATTAAATTGTAGTAAGTAGTTTTTTTTGTAGTTTTATTTATATACAAAAACGTTTTGACGTAAACAAATTGATGGCTTAAAATATATTTTAAAAATATAAAGCGTTGTAATACAGTTATGAAATTATAGTATGTTATTTCTTAATATGTGTACTGAATTATAAAAATATAAAATCAAATCTGTTTCTAACAGAAAAAAACTAAAAAATTGCAATGAACACTTGTATACTCTATTTTTATTAGTCGCGAATCGAGGGTTGGATATGATATGAGAAGTACTTTTGAAAAATGTTTTAAAAATATACAATATTATATTAGAGCTATAAAATTTTAGTATGTTATTACCTAATATATGTACTCAATTATAAAAATATAAAATCACATATGTTTCTAACAAAAAAAGCTATAGATGTGCAATTTTATAAACAAATGCACTCTTGCATATCTAGTTTCCAATAGTTGCAAGTCCGCGGTTTGATGAGTACTTTGAAAAATATTACAAAAACAGCTATAAATTTGCAATTCAGTAAAATCATGTAACAGGGCTGCAATTGTTACTAGAAACTCAAAATATCAACTTTTTTGAAATGTTAATATGAAAAAACACTTTTTGGCGATGTAGCACTCTTTTTCTGCAAATCATATTCTTCTCAAACACGGTGCTCTCAAAGATCTATTTGTATAATTATATACTCATTGGTATTAATAAAACATTTTATAGGTAATAATATTTTTTATTCATGTTATTTAAAATCAGAACCTAAATTTGGTATCGATCAAAGGTTTTCCAGAATTTATCGAAAAATAGATAGTAATATATGCAGGTTTGGGGTTAAAAGGTCCACCACCGATGTGTCAAAAACCAGTGAAGTTAAGCATTATTTAACAATATTTGAAAGTAGTGGGAAAAAGATGTATAACCAGCTATAACCTTGATTCTCATGACTTTGATATCGAGAGATAAACTTTGAAAATCTATAATAAAAGTATTTTTTTCCATTGGTAGTTTTTTAGCATTAGTTAAAAATGTAATTATTTTCTAAAATATCTTTCAAATTAAAATAAGACATTAAACCTGTTTACCACCTGGCCGTTCCAGTTTCCCGCCTATAGGGTAAAAAGGTCAAGATAATAAATTTTTGATAGACATCAAAAAAGCACATTTCTACAATGATGAAGTAGCTAGCAGTTTTACTGAACGTAGTCAGATAATTGTTTGTTTGAAATGTGTTATTTGTTGTGATATAATTGGTTTGGTTTTCATAATATAATTAATATTTGCTCAAAGTCAAATTGGACTTTTGTGCCTCGCCCTGCTCTACATAACTACTTTTTATTAAATTTACTTTAGTTCATCGAATGTTACTTGAAACTTTTCAAAAAGCAGGTCAAAGAAGAAATACTTAATTCATTTGCTATCTCTTCTTGCAAAAATTTGAAAATATTGTATAAGCTCGGTAGTATTATTTACAATTATACCCAAAATCCAGAATCCAAAAAGAATCAGATAAACTTGAAATATAATCAATATGTCGAAAGACCAAAAAAGACTTGGATTTGATTATACTATGTTTTCTATGGAAAGTGTATAAAATTTCCAGACAAAATGTAGACGAACTAATGGGGCTTATTGTTTTTATAATACCTCATTGTATACAGCATTCAAACAACGCATCCTTATGCACTTAAAGTATTAATATTTTTGATTCTCTAGAAATTGTTTAGAATATACCTTACTTAGACAACGTTTGCCGGGTCAGCTATATAAATAGTAACTGAATTAGTCTGTAGTTTTCAACAATGTAATATCTAATATGCGTTTACAACATATGCAATATCTATTTTGAGTATTTGTCCTACCAGATTCCTCTTTAATTCGTCCAATGATGATATGCGGACACTTTGAGGTCTCACTCGGCCATAAAACGTAATACGAAAACGATAAAACCATATGATTCGGTAATAGGACGACCTGCCTTCTTTTGTTCGAAAAACATTATTTCTACAAGACCGGAATATAAAATAAAATATACCACCACAATATGGTACAAAAACATGATTTAACTTTACCAAGAACAATTTTAAACGATAGTTGTAATAAAAACTTCAGTTCAATTTTTGCACAAGTTGTATCAAGGGGCACAACTAGTGTAACCGCCTAAAAAAGGTGATTTTTGGGAATTTATATTAAAAAAAAACTACTTTATCAATCATTTTAAAATTTTAGGAATATATTTATACATGTTTTAAAAATACATAGTAAAATTTTTGAAGAAAAAAATTAAACATTTTTTAAGTTATCGTCGATCTCCAACGGCGCGACGAAAAAAGACCCTTTACTGCTGCAGTGATTCCGGTCTTCTACGTGGATGAAATTTAAAAAAAAAAAATTCTCGTTCAACTAGATAATATTGTCTGTAAAATGAACTACGATAACGAAAAAAATCAAAAATTGACAAAATGACGGCGTTTTTTAAAAAAAAAGTCGAATTTTACCCAAAATTTTGGTCGTTTTTGGACTGCCAAAATTCGATTTTTGATCCGATCAAAAAATCGATTGTTCATTTTACGGAGAACTATAATATAGAACATGTAAAAAAAATAGATAGTGATCGGATCATTTGTTTTTGAGTAATCACTGCAGCAAATTTGGAAAATGCTGTTTCGAGAAAAACGCGTTTAAAGATAAAATTATTGTTATACTATATACTATATATATACTCTTCAAATGGCTGTGACTCAAAAACTATTTAAGATATCGATTTAAAATTTTGGTATATTATTTTTAAAGGTTGAAAATTCGGTTTTTTGAAAATTTCACACTAGTTGTGCCCCTTAATTCAGAGATTCAGGTTACAAAATCAATTGCCCTGATTGTGAATAAACCTATATAGGTGAAAGTAAGGAAAATCAAGGCATTGTGGTTGTAAGTTGATGAAGGCGTTTTTAAGTTCATTAGGATTTTATGTGAAATTTTATTAGCTTTAATTTGTGTGAAGACTATTTTGAGCTATAATAACTGGTTTTGGAATTATAAATTAAACTGTGAATTAAAACACATTTGTAGTGTAATTAAAAACATTTTATGTCCTGGTTAGACCGCGATTTTCAGCTGTTATATTACAGTAAATTTTTTTATTGCGATTTTGTGCTGAATTTTATAAGCTCTAAAGCAAATCAAATGCATATTATAATTTTATTAATATTTTATTATACTTTTTATTTTTAGGTCGAGCAGCAGAAATCAAACAATCCCAAGCTGACGTAACAAGATCGTACGATGATACAATATTTCTGCAAAAAGGAACATCTTCTGATAGTACTGCTGCTTCATCAGCCTCCAGCAGCAGCAGCAGTTCGGTTGCTGGAAAAACTCAGAGACAGGGGAGGGATGTCACAAATTTCACATCTGGAAGCGCAAGTAAGAAAAAATATATAAATATAAATATGAATATGAATATAAATATAATTATAAATAAATTTAAATCTTATATATAAAAACGGAGTTCTCGATAAATGATCCGCCAAAACTCAAAAACGGCTAAACCGATTTGACCAGTCTTAGTCTTGAAAAATTCGTACTAATAGTAGGTTGTCGGAAAGGTGAGATATTATCTCAAAATCGCGTAGAAACTTTACATTTTTAATTTGAACATTTTTGTAGAAGCGTAATTTGAATAAAACAATGGACGGTGGCTAACACGTCAAATGTCAAACGTTTTTGACAGATGATGTTCAATTGCGTTTAATAGGATGTCTTACGTGAATATTTGTAGTTTTATTTATATACAAAAAACGTTAGTAATCGTTTTGACGTAAACAAATTGACGGCTTAAAATATATTTTAAAAATATAAAACGTTGTAATACAGTTATGAAACTATAGTATGTTATTTCTTAATATGTATACTGAATTATAAAAATATAAAATCAAATATGTTTCTAACACACATTTGCATACACTATTTTTATTAGTTGCGAATCGACGGTTGGATATGGTATGAGAAGTACTTTTGAAAAATGTTTTAAAAATATACAATATTAAACTTGAGCTATAAATTTTTAGTATGTTATTACCTAATATATGTACTCAATTATAAAAATATAAAATCGCACATGTTTCTTACAAAAACAGCTATAAATTTGCAATTCAGTAAAATCATGTAATAGGGCTGCAAGTGTTACTACAAACTCAACAATATCAACTTTTTTGAAATGTTAATATGAAAATGCACCTTTTGGTGTTGTAGCACTCTTTTTTTGCAAATCATATTTTTCTCAAACACGGTGCTCTGAAAGAACTCATTTGTATAATTATATACTTATTGGCATTTATAAAACATTTTCTAGTTTATATTATTTTCTAATTATGTTATTTAAATTCAGAACCTAAATTTGGTATCGATCAAAGGGACATTTTGTCGAATAATATTTTTCCAGTTATAATTTCCCAGAACTTATCGAATAATAGATAGTAATATATGAAGGTCTAGGGTTAAAAAGGTCCACCCACCTATGTGTCAAAAACCAGTAAAGTTAAGCATTGTTTAACAACAATATTTGAAAGTAGAGGGAAAAAGATGTAAAACCAGCTATAACCTTGATTCTCATGACTTTGTTATCGGGAGATAAATGGTATTTTTTGAAAATCCATAATAAAAGTATTTTCTTCCGTTGGTAGTTTTTTAGCATTAGTTAAAAATGTATTTATTTTGTACAATACCTTTAAAATTAAAATAAGACATTAAACCTGTTTGCCAACTGGCCGTTCCAAGTTACTCCGCCTATAGAATAAAAAGGTCTAGATAACAAATTTTTGAAAGCTTGCAAAAAATCACATTTTTACAATGATGAAGTTGCTGGTAGTTTTACTGAACGTAGTCAGATAATTGTTCGTTTGAAATGTGTTATTTGTGTGGTATAATTGGTTTGATTTTTATAATATAATTAATATTTGCTCAAGATCAAATTGGACCTTTGTACAACGCCCTGCTCTACATATATACTTTTTGTTAAATTTACTTTAATTCATCGAATGTTACTTGAAACTTTTCAAAAAACAGGTCAAAGGAGAAATACTTAATTCATTTTCTATCTCTCCTCGCAGAAATTTGAAAAATTTGTATAAGCTCAGTAGTATTATTTACAATTATACACAAAATCCAAAATCCAAAAAGAAACTGAGAAACTTAAACCAATAAGTCGAAAGACCAAAAAAGACTTGGATTGGATTATACCATACAGAAAGTGTATAAAACTTCCAGACAAAATATAGACAAACTAATGGGGTTTATTGTTTTTATAATACCTCATTGTATATAGCATTCAAACAACACATCCTTATACACTTAAAGTATTAATATTTTTGATTCTCTAGAAATTGTTTAGAATATACCTTACTTAGCGAAACAATGTTTGGCGGGTCAGCTAGTATAAATATAAATATAAATATAAATAAAAAATATCCTCTTTTGATATATTATAATGCGTCCTTTACCTTTTAGCTTCTGGTACAATCTTAGTTCCCCAACACCAAACAATTACTCTGCCCTGTGCAACCACAGACGACCTGGTGATAAGCAACAGTGTCTGGTTGAAAGACGGTCAAATAGTTGATGTCTACGACCGAGGGGGGTCTAGTAGTATGTCCAGTGGCGGCGGACACAGATTTATCCGAAACAGAGACGGAGGCGTCTTCATCGACGGCGTCCGAATGGAGGATAATGGAGAGTGGAAGTGCGAGGCTGAGGACGAGGCCGGGTTTTTGGTCGTTGGGTATACGATACAGTTAGTTGTTTTAGGTAAATGATAAAAGATTAATATAAATATATATATATATACATATATATATATATATATATATATATAATATATATATACATATATATGTATATATATACTAGCTAACCCGGCAAACGTTGTTTTGCCATTAAAAATATGCCTAAATTGATAAAAAAAATTAATAAAAGTGCCAAAATTCAAATATTTAATAGATTTGGACTCTGATTCTTTGAAAAATAATTAAAAACTTGTTATAATTTTCAAAATTATTTGACATTTCATACTTCAAAAATTATGATACTTTTGTCATGTCATATGCGTCAATAAAATTTTCTTTCAAGTATTATTTATTTGTTAATAAATTATTAATTATTTTAAGTCATCAATGAATAATTATATAATTGTTAAATTCATAAGTTTGGCTAAATCAACACAGGAATATTGTGGAAATAAATATTTTTTTACATAAAGATCTGATTTTTGACATTTGCATTTTATTTCAAATTAATTATAACTGTCAAAATATTTTCTCTTCAGTCAAAATTCAATATAATATGATATAATATTTAGTTTGTCTAGTTTGTTTTTGTCAGATTCCAATTGATACCCTCAGATTGTACTATTCCATTTAAGAGGTTACAATTTCGTGTAAGATCAGCATTTGCGATAACAATCAAAATATATCTTAACTGATATATTAATAATAATATTATATTTTAATTACACAAATTTTGTTACACTCCGATAAATAATTCCAACGCATCATAGTGTTTTGTTTATTTTAATTTTGTTTATGTCATTTTTTTTTAAATTAAAGAATAAATTAAATTTTAGTCTAAATCAACGCAGTATCTTTATCTAAATATACAATTTTTTATATAAATATTTGATTTTTTACATTTGCATTTAATTGAAAAATAGTGAATGTCAATTTCATATATCCAATATGCACTAAATTTATAAATGTCAAAATATTTCCTTCTTGGTCCAAAATTAATATAATATGATAATATTTATTTTACAATAATGTTTTGTATCTATAATTTGTTTGGCAATATTGCCTACAACATAACTTGGAATAATTAATTTATTTGCTTTTTTTGAAGTAAGTCGTTAAACGTTTTTTTTGTGAAATATCAAATTTTTGTTCATGATTAATTTTAAATTCGATATGCCGCTTTTTCATTGTGATCTCTGATCTATAAGGTTTTGATGAAGTTTTGGTTTCCGAAATAATTTGGTAAGCTAATCAATTAAATCTAAATCGTAAATCTATTTATATAATTATTTTCATAAATACTGACAAATGACATTTAATTTTTTTACATGTCAACATTTATTTATATTTTTAAGCATTGTTTTTTAATTAGATTTAAAACTATAAACAGTGATTGTGAATATAGCATTTCATCAAATTTGGATTTAAATGTTGGATATTTCTATATATGTACATGTTTTTGAATTTTATTTTTTGAAATGTCAATTTTTTTTTCAAAAATTATATATCGAAATTTTCTTAAATTTTGACATTTGTCATTTTAGTGTTTTGTTTTTTTTTTGGTCATTTTCTGTCAAAATTTTTAGAAATTTATAAAAATTATATATTTATATTTTAAATTCACTTTTCAAAATTTTCTATAACCTAAGTTGGATATATATGCACACGATGAGCCATTAAAATTTAAAATCGGTTCAGTAGTTTGCGCGTCCATCGCGAACCAACATCGTGACACGAGATTTATATATATACTAGCATACCCAGCCTTGCGTTGCAACGGCCCTTATTGAAATTCACGTGATTGAAATTTGAATTAAAAAATTACTCATGGCACTTAAGCGTTCTTGGTTTTTTTTACCAGATCGGCCTAAACCGCCTTATCTCCTCATTGATGGTAGACGGTTGGATCCTGGAAATATGTTTATTCCCGTCAAGGAAAACGGGGAATTATCCATAAGTTGCGTTGCTGAAGGTGGAAATCCAAAGCCAACTTTGCTTTGGAATTTGGCTCTGAGCCCTAATATTGATCCGACGTCGCAGGAGCACGCCAATGTCAACTTAGACTTACAGGTAACTATAAAAATACACCTGATGCCTAATTACATTATCTTGTAATTCATGTTTTTTCTCAGCAGTCCAAGGAAGACTTTGATGAGCAACCTGCAGCCTCTTCAAGAAAAAACGTGCCTCAATATCAACCTGGTTCTGGTGCACGTTCCGATACTGGTCTCAATAGGGTTTTGAGGGCTCATCACAATGCAACTATTACTTGCATTTTGCAACATCCAGCTTTGAGTCATCCCTTGAATGCGTCACTACTTCTGGACGTACAATGTGAATACAAATTTATTTCACCAATATTTTTGTGAATTTTGAGTGCAATTGTTATCATTTTTCCAGATGCTCCTTCTTTTGGCATCAGCAGAATACCAGGATTTGGGTTTCCTCTACGAGAAGGCATTGCAGTGTCTTTAAAATGCGATGTGGATTCAAATCCTAGTAGTGTTCCTGTTTGGCAGAAGGACGATGGTGCCACACCGGTAAGAAATTGACTAAAATTGTCAGCAGAAATTGAGTGACTAGTATTTTTTTTTATTTTTTAAATATATAGCCCACAGATTTCTTCCAAGACAACTCAAAAATACAATTATTTTACATAATGAATAACAATTAAAATATATACAAAATTACAATATATAGTTATTAACATAAAATGCTTAACATAAAATTACATATAATGCAGAATGTAACGATATTATTTATAAACAGAATAAGATAAAATAATGAGATATTTGAAAAGAAAATAAAAAGGTTAACTTGTGCACATGGAGATTATTTGATTAGGTGAAGTGTTCTGAATATCTATTTCATTATTAATTAAGTTAAAGTTAGAGGACATAAGTAAAATAGGCGAATTTAAGAGAGAATTAGATTTAGGAGTAGGATAATTGAAAAATAATTGTGAACGCGTAGATAGTCTTGAAACATTAAAGGATAGTTGTTTAAAAATAAGAGGACAGTCTATACAATTATTGCAAAGTTTAAATAAGAACATAATTGTACAGATAAATCGACGTGAGGCAAGGGAAGGAATGCCAAATTCTTTTAGTAAAATGTTGTGGTCAAAGCCATGTTCAGGGTAAATTTTATATGTTTTATAATAGATATTTTAAAAAATTTTCGCTGAACCTTCTCTATCGCATCAGAGTTGTTGATTTGATGAGGATACCAAATGATCGAACCATATTCTAATTTTGAACGTACAATAGAATAGTACATGCAACGAAGTGCATTATTAGAATTGAATTGTTTACAATTTCTCAGTATCAAACCTAAAGATTTATGTGCTTTATTACAAATATCAGTTATATGTTCCGTGAAAAACAAACCACGGTCAAATAAAACTCCTAAATCTGAAATTTTATTACATCTATCAATGCTGGTGTTAGAAATTTTATAATCAAAATGTATTGGAACGCGCTTATGTGAAAAACTAAGAATCTTGCACTTTGATATATTTAAATCTAATTTGTTATAGACACACCAAGAGTGGAAAGAGTCAAGTTGAGACTGTAATAATAAGCAGTCATCAATAGTATTTATTTTTAGATATAGTTTGAGATCATCTGCAAATAATAAATGTGGACAGCTAATAATATCAGATATGTCATTATAAAAAATAATAAATAGTAGTGGACCAAGAATGGATCCCTGAGGAACACCTGAACTGATATTTTCAATATTGCTCTAGAGTCCATTAAGATAGACAAACTGTTTACGATTATGAAGATAACTCTTAAAAAAATAAATAAGTGAAGAATTAAGACCAATCTTAGATATTTTAGTAAGAAGAATGTTATGATCAATTTTGTCAAAAGCTTTACTGAAGTCAGTGTAAATAACATCAACTTGTCCATTAGTGTCAAGATGTAGTACAAATGTAACATGTAGTATTTTGTTTCTTTAGGTTCCTCAGTCTGGTGACGGTTTCCTGAATTTCTCAGCAATCAAACGAGAAGATTCTGGCTGGTACAAGTGCACAAGCAGACATATGCTTGGACTGTTTTCGTCAATTGGATATTTTCTTAATGTCAGATGTAAGTAATAATTAGAATTTGACCAAAAGTTGAAGGATCATAGTTGACAAACTTGTTTTTTTTTCTGCAGATGATCCACCAGAAGTGACTCAAGAACCTGATGATTCCGAAGCATCTGCACATCACGTGGAAGTCGCCGTTGGCGGTTCTGTCCATTTACAATGTCCAACAGGTAAAGAATTTTTTTTTTTAACTTATTGAAGGGTAGTTATAGTAATGGTCCGAAAATCGAAAATGAAAATTTTTTCTTTGAAGGTTTCTGAACATTTTAGCATACCTCAGAAAAAATGGATGTGTGTGTGTGTGTTTTGTATGTCCGCATTTTTTCGTCCACGTTTTCGGGTGCACGGATCAACCGATTAGGGATCGAATTTATCAATACCCACTTATATGAATATATTTATACTTGCAAATGGCAAAATAATAAATCTAATCTATCAAGCGCGGCGCTCATAGCGTGACAATGAAAGTGTATAATTATCATCAATATTCCAAAGATAGAAGTAATTATTACTGCATTAACATCACAAGTTATTTTAATTTATAGGCACTTTAATTATGAAATATTTGTTCTGGATGGTATTTGAATATATCTTACCAATTATTTTATTTGTTTATTAATAAAATACAAATACTACTTCAAAAACGCAAGTACAAACGATATCAATGCTCGGTTTGAATGGACTATATTAGGTAATACTAATACATCAATAATCAAATGTTTGTATAAATTGTGAAATATACTACTATAATTATATGGCATCATAAAAAATAATGAACTCAAACTCCAAAATGACATGACTAAAAACAAAAACATGATTAAGATAATTGCATATGATACTTATTTGAAACATATGTCTTATATTCATGGCTCTCGTATAAATGTACATAAAAAAACATTCGATCCCTATTGATAGGGAGATGCGCTAATTAGTTTTTGGCAAATTATAACATCTTTTTTTATTTTCCATAAAATATTTTTGTAATTTTGGGTTAAAAATTCAAAAAATTACCCAGGCTAAGCACAGTCTAACCGCCACTCTGGTACAAATGCGTTACCCAAGTGCGTTTAGAATGTTTATGTTCTATAGCACTTTTCCAATTTTGTGAAAACTATTGAAAAATGTAAAAATGCCGCCAAGCTAAGATCAGTCTAAGTGAAAATGTCGCACAGAATTATTTGCAAATGCGTTTAGACTGTGACTATAGCACTTTTTCAATTTTGTGCAAATATTAGGCAACTATTTTTTTGAAATTGAAATCGAAATGAAATGACGATTGTTAATGTTCTGGAGATAAATTGATTAATTTATGATTTACATTTGATTTGCTCAGATAAAACAAAAGATAGCAAAAATAATGAAAGTTACACTATTTGTAATAATATATTTGAAAACGTTTAAAATTTCTCGAATATTTCATTACGGTTCGGGAAGTTCCAGCAATTTGCCTTAATGCACGATGCCATACACCACTAGTTCTATATTTATTTCATTTTACATCAAGTGTCTTTTATCTTTTTGCAGGTACGGTGGGCTGTTGGGGCAAAAGCGATCTTTCAGGTGGGCGCATCAGAGGCGTAGGTCCAGGTGGGGTTATTGCAAGCCAAGGCCTAGCCTTAAGAGACTTACTTTACAGGGATGCAGGGTCGTATCGGTGTGTGGGCAGGCCCCCCTGATGCGGCAGAAAATACTGATAGGATACAGACTCTTAGATATATACAATTGTCAGTCAAAGGTAATAAACTGGAATTAATTTTGTTGCAAGTTTTAAGATTTTTTAAGATGAATTCCTTACAAAAGCAACGAAAGTGCGTTACGGCAGATAAGATAAGATAAGAGTCGAGTGCCATTGATTCATCATTCGCTCTCGATGATATCATTTCTATACGGGTCGATTGTGATTAGTCGTCGTGTGTGTGAATAGAGATCTGTCGTTGTATGCGTACCGATATCAACAAGGAAATTGGCATAGATAAATAAACATTTTAAAGTTACATTGTAGTACAAATCTTGATTTAATGCAAAATGCCTGAATTAGAAGAATATTTTACCCTGTTCCTTGAAAATAGTAAAAAAAATTAAACATTTGCGCCGTGTACTGAGCGGAAGTTTATTGATTACAAATTATTTCTATATTAAAAAAGATAATGTTTTTATAGACAAGACAGATTCTAAAGCTGTTCAAAGAATTATCAAACGACAGAAAAAATAAAAGGACTCTACTGACGAACAAACATAATTTTAATCCTCTACTCTACTGACAAGCAAACTTTAATTACAACGTAGTTGATAAAAGGGACTCTACTGATGACTAAATCTAAAATTAGTAAATATAAAAACTGAAAAAAATCTCCACTAACTGGTATAGATAAAAAAGATATAGAAAGGAAACATATAAAAAGGACTCTACTGACGAGGAAACTTTAGTTTTTGATCTAAAAGATTAAAAAGGACTTTACAGACGAGCAAATAAAAAATCGAGTAGTTAAAATATGACCATAAATTTTATCTTAAAGTTAGAAAGGGATTCTACTGACAAGTCAACAAAGGTTTGATCGATAAGAAAATACAAAAAGGACTCTACTGACAGGCAAACTAAAAAAGCAAAGTTTAATTTCAACTTAGAAGAAGAAAAAGGACTCTACTGGTAAGCAAAATTAACTTTGATACTAAAAGGGACTGTACTGATAAGCAAAAATATAAATGAAAAATGTTTTGTGAAAGGGACTCTACTGACAAGCAAATTTTAATTTCAATCTAGAAGAGAAGAAAGGGACTCTACTGACGATCAAAATATGAATAAAAAATGTCCCTTAAAAAGAACTCTACTGACGAGCAAACTCAATTTTAATTTAAAATATTTGAAATTGGACTTTACTAGCGACCAAATTTGAAATTCGTAAATATAAAAAAAGGCTTTACTGACAAGGAAACTAGGAATTAACAAAAGAGACAAAAGGGGACTCTACTGACAAATGAATAATAAATAAAAAATATAATAGAAAAGGGACTCTACTGACAAGTGATCAAATAACTTGATAGAAATGTACAAAATTGATCTAATAGACAAAAAAGCGACTCTACTAACGAGCAAAATTATTAATTAGAAAAAGGGACTCTACTGTCGAGCAAAAATTATTAATATTTAATGACTAGAAAAGCGGATTCTACTGACGAGCAAGGTTATAAAAAAAAGACTCTACTGAGGAGTAAATTAAACTTAATTTTTATAAATATATAAGATTTAAAAAAGGACTCTACTGACGTGCAAATTGAATATCGTCTGGAGAAAAGTAAAAAAAATATAAGCAGTCAATGAATGTATGTTAATTTCAATTACGTGAAGTTCTTCAAACACAATTATTACATGATGACTAACACAATGCTAATTACAATGACAAACCGATGAAGTATATAGTCATACTTATACACATTATATAAATGTGTATAATGGTTGACGAGACTAATAAATGTTACCATATGACTAATAAACATTATTCAAAATTGTTATATGATGTATTTATTTTTTATTGTTGTTTTTAGGTCCGCCACTTGTGCGTACAAATTTGAACTACCTAAATGCGACTGTTGGTGACCCTGCTCATGTCACCATGGAGTTCTGTGCCAATCCTGGACCTACCAGGACATTATGGGTGCACGGTGATAATGTCTATTATCCTGGTCGAAAGTATGAGTATGTCACAGCCCATAACATCACTGTAAGTACGAACTAGGGTTTATACAAAAACCGACATTTCAGAAAACCGGTTTTCTACTTTTAATTTTACTAAAAAACCGGTTTTCGAATTTTATATAGAAAATCAATTTTTGCTCGAACATTCTGTAATTTATCCGCAAATTTAGTGTAATTTAGAGCAGTATTTGACTGAATTTATTTATTTTTCAATTTTCTAGATAGTAAACAAAATTATTTTAATTTTAACTAGTAGAACTAAAAAATAATAGTTTATCTTGATTAAATAACTTTGAAAATAATTATTCGTTATTCATGCATCATTTTCACTAGAGAATGCAATACCGGTATACCGAATTACCGGTAACCGCCCGATTTTTCGTCGGTATTCTTACCGGTATTTACCCCAAAAATACCGGTATTTTTGGTAATTTACATAAGCGCTATTTGATACATAATACATTAAAGTTTAAATTTCTCGGAACAAATTTATCTTTAAATTCCATAATCGCATAAACAGCTATATCTTCAAGTGATTCTATATGATAAACAAATGTCAAATATTATCTCAACTCGTCATTAAACTGAATATTTATTGCTTTCCAAAGGGCTTCATATCGTGTTACAATAAATAAAATTGGACTGATAGATAATGTTTGTTTCATCTTTTGTAAAAATGTAACGATTTTTTAAGTGATATTTGCGCCAAAATATTTTATATCATACATATTACCCCTGCGTAATCGTTGTTTTTTTTAACTTTATACATAATAATTATGATAATTACTAAATACTTTTGCTTTTTATTACAATTATAAAATATTATTTTCCGAAAACGTTTCGAAGTTTGAAAATACTATAGAAGCATCGCATTGTTTTAAATAACAATACTCAACAATTATAGTATCTTATTATTTATCTCGATAAAGTATCGGATCTTAAGTTAGTGTAGAATTTTTTTTTTTTAAATATTGGAGATTATGCTAATTTAACACATCGGATACAGACAATACAGTTTATTATAATAATGTAATATGATTTTTTATGAGTTTTTGGTCTTTCTTACTCATATGTTTGTTTTTTGGTGAAAAGTACTCAATATACTCGATAGTGATAGTGAATTAATGAAACGGCATATAATTTTGTTAAATTATTATTTAAAAAAATAAACTTAATGTTCTATTTTATTGTTTAGTTTAATATAGTTGTAGTTGTATATAATTTTTTTATATTTGTACTAGTAACTTTCAATTTTGTTTACGTTAGTTTAAGATAATAAAAATACCGGTAATTTACCGGTATCCGGTTTTAAAATGAAAAATTACCGAAATACCGGTATAGAAATTTTCCATATGTATTGCATTCCCTGGTAGTCAATATTTATTATAGAAAGTGGCAAATTCATCCATATATTATCATTGTTCTTATTTTACTGTGTAATCAACTCCCTTAAAACATTCACAAATTATGCTTAATTGTTTTTAAAGCCTGATATAATAATTCCAAGTTTTTTGTTCTTTAATTTGTAGCTTCTAGGGTTTAAAACTTTTTTTTTAAGTTTGAGTAGAGGAAGTTACTTCTTCAACAAGTCATACTGATTTAAATTAATATATACACTGGTATAAAAATTTAAATTAATATATACAAAACATTTCTGGGAACCATTGCAGATTGATAAGATATTAAATGCTATTGAACCGATATGATTTCAAGTATCAAAACGCTTTCATTTATCTTTTATATTTGGCTATATTTGTAATTTTCCATTTATACAGTGAAAACCGACTTTTTTCACTAAAGAACCGGTTTTTGATTTACATAATTTTTGACAAAAAACCGGTTTTTGAAAACCGACAAACCCTAGTACGAATTATAATTTTGGCATTCGATTATCTGTTACTAATATGTCCTTTATCTTTACCCTTTTAGAATCGAACAAGTGCCCACTGTCAAGAAGCAGCCCTCACCTTCCACAACATAGTTCCGTCCCATTACAAATCTTCTTCAGCTCTATCTACTACTACGTCTGTTCTACAAGAACAATTAATATTTCTGGTGAAGTCGCCGAATGGATTGGCAGAGGCTTCGGTCGCCATCAATCTGAATCCGTCCGCCGATTGGCGACCAAAAGATGCCAATTGTGGCGACAGGAGAAGAGGATACTGGTTCTTGAATGTTTTGGTGTCACTTATTGGTGTAATGCGGTTGGTACTGGTGTAATTTGTAAGTTTTTGTTGGCTGAAAGATGCTGGGGAAAGGATTTATTGGACGTGGGATTTTTGGTAAGAGGATTTTTTGGTTCGGAGATACCTTGGTCGAGAGATTTCTTTGCCAGGAGATTTCTTGGTCTGGGGATTTCTTGCTCAGGATATTTCTTGGTCAGGAGATTTCTTGGGCAACACAAATCTTGGACATGACATTCTTTGGACATGACATTATTTGGGCATGACATTCTTTGGGCATCACATTCTTTGGACATGACATTATTTGGGCATGACATTCTTTGGACATGACATTCTTTGGGCATGACATTCTTTGGGCATGACATTCTTTGGACATGACATTCTTTGGGCATGACATTCTTTGGGCATGACATTATTTGGGCATGACATTCTTTGGGCATGACATTCTTTGGGCATGACATTCTTTGGGCATGACATTCTTTGGGCATGACATTATTTGGGCATGACATTATTTGGGCATGACATTCTTTGGGCATGACATTCTTTGGACATGACATTCTTTGGGCATGACATTCTTTGGGCATGACATTCTTTGGGCATGACATTATTTGGGCATGACATTCTTTGGGCATGACATTCTTTGGGCATGACATTCTTTGGGCATGACATTCTTTGGGCATGACATTCTTTGGGCATGACATTCTTTGGGCATGACATTCTTTGGGCATGACATTCTTTGGGCATGACATTCTTTGGGCATGACATTCTTTGGGCATGACATTCTTTGGGCATGACATTCTTTGGGCATGACATTCTTTGGGCATGACATTCTTTGGGCATGACATTATTTGGGCATGACATTCTTTGGGCATGACATTCTTTGGGCATGACATTCTTTGGACATGACATTCTTTGGGCATGACATTCTTTGGGCATGACATTCTTTGGGCATGACATTATTTGGGCATGACATTCTTTGGGCATGACATTCTTTGGGCATGACATTCTTTGGGCATGACATTATTTGGGCATGACATTATTTGGGCATGACATTCTTTGGGCATGACATTATTTGGGCATGACATTATTTGGGCATGACATTCTTTGGGCATGACATTCTTTGGGCATGACATTCTTTGGGCATGACATTCTTTGGGCATGACATTCTTTGGGCATGACATTATTTGGGCATGACATTATTTGGGCATGACATTCTTTGGGCATGACATTCTTTGGACATGACATTCTTTGGGCATGACATTCTTTGGGCATGACATTCTTTGGGCATGACATTATTTGGGCATGACATTCTTTGGGCATGACATTCTTTGGGCATGACATTCTTTGGGCATGACATTCTTTGGGCATGACATTCTTTGGGCATGACATTCTTTGGGCATGACATTCTTTGGGCATGACATTCTTTGGGCATGACATTCTTTGGGCATGACATTCTTTGGGCATGACATTATTTGGGCATGACATTCTTTGGGCATGACATTCTTTGGGCATGACATTCTTTGGGCATCACATTCTTTGGGCATGACATTCTTTGGGCATGACATTCTTTGGGCATGACATTCTTTGGGCATGACATTCTTTGGGCATGACATTATTTGGGCATGACATTCTTTGGGCATCACATTCTTTGGACATGACATTATTTGGGCATGACATTCTTTGGACATGACATTCTTTGGGCATGACATTCTTTGGGCATGACATTCTTTGGACATGACATTCTTTGGGCATGACATTCTTTGGGCATGACATTATTTGGGCATGACATTCTTTGGGCATGACATTCTTTGGGCATGACATTCTTTGGGCATGACATTCTTTGGGCATGACATTATTTGGGCATGACATTATTTGGGCATGACATTCTTTGGGCATGACATTCTTTGGACATGACATTCTTTGGGCATGACATTCTTTGGGCATGACATTCTTTGGGCATGACATTATTTGGGCATGACATTCTTTGGGCATGACATTCTTTGGGCATGACATTCTTTGGGCATGACATTCTTTGGGCATGACATTCTTTGGGCATGACATTCTTTGGGCATGACATTCTTTGGGCATGACATTCTTTGGGCATGACATTCTTTGGGCATGACATTCTTTGGGCATGACATTCTTTGGGCATGACATTCTTTGGGCATGACATTATTTGGGCATGACATTATTTGGGCATGACATTCTTTGGGCATGACATTCTTTGGACATGACATTCTTTGGGCATGACATTCTTTGGGCATGACATTCTTTGGGCATGACATTATTTGGGCATGACATTCTTTGGGCATGACATTCTTTGGGCATGACATTCTTTGGGCATGACATTCTTTGGGCATGACATTCTTTGGGCATGACATTCTTTGGGCATGACATTCTTTGGGCATGACATTCTTTGGGCATGACATTCTTTGGGCATGACATTCTTTGGGCATGACATTCTTTGGGCATGACATTATTTGGGCATGACATTCTTTGGGCATGACATTCTTTGGGCATGACATTCTTTGGGCATGACATTATTTGGGCATGACATTATTTGGGCATGACATTCTTTGGGCATGACATTCTTTGGGCATGACATTCTTTGGGCATGACATTCTTTGGGCATGACATTCTTTGGGCATGACATTATTTGGGCATGACATTATTTGGGCATGACATTCTTTGGGCATGACATTATTTGGGCATGACATTATTTGGGCATGACATTCTTTGGGCATGACATTCTTTGGGCATGACATTCTTTGGGCATGACATTCTTTGGGCATGACATTCTTTGGGCATGACATTCTTTGGGCATGACATTCTTTGGGCATGACATTCTTTGGGCATGACATTCTTTGGGCATGACATTCTTTGGACATGACATTATTTGGGCATGACATTATTTGGGCATGACATTATTTGGGCATGACATTATTTGGGCATGACATTATTTGGGCATGACATTATTTGGGCATGACATTCTTTGGGCATGACATTCTTTGGGCATGACATTATTTGGGCATGACATTCTTTGGACATGACATTCTTTGGGCATGACATTATTTGGGCATGACATTCTTTGGACATGACATTATTTGGGCATGACATTATTTGGGCATGACATTATTTGGGCATGACATTCTTTGGGCATGACATTATTTGGGCATGACATTCTTTGGGCATGACATTATTTGGGCATGACATTCTTTGGGCATGACATTCTTTGGGCATGACATTCTTTGGGCATGACATTCTTTGGACATGACATTCTTTGGGCATGACATTATTTGGGCATGACATTCTTTGGGCATGACATTCTTTGGGCATGACATTCTTTGGACATGACATTATTTGGGCATGACATTCTTTGGGCATGACATTATTTGGGCATGACATTCTTTGGGCATGACATTCTTTGGGCATGACATTCTTTGGGCATGACATTCTTTGGGCATGACATTCTTTGGGCATGACATTCTTTGGACATGACATTCTTTGGGCATGACATTCTTTGGGCATGACATTCTTTGGGCATGACATTCTTTGGACATGACATTCTTTGGGCATGACATTCTTTGGGCATGACATTATTTGGGCATGACATTCTTTGGGCATGACATTCTTTGGGCATGACATTCTTTGGGCATGACATTCTTTGGGCATGACATTCTTTGGGCATGACATTATTTGGGCATGACATTCTTTGGGCATGACATTCTTTGGACATGACATTATTTGGGCATGACATTCTTTGGGCATGACATTATTTGGGCATGACATTCTTTGGGCATGACATTCTTTGGGCATGACATTCTTTGGGCATGACATTCTTTGGGCATGACATTCTTTGGGCATGACATTATTTGGGCATGACATTCTTTGGGCATGACATTATTTGGGCATGACATTCTTTGGGCATGACATTCTTTGGGCATGACATTCTTTGGGCATGACATTCTTTGGGCATGACATTCTTTGGACATGACATTCTTTGGGCATGACATTCTTTGGGCATGACATTATTTGGGCATGACATTCTTTGGGCATGACATTCTTTGGGCATGACATTCTTTGGACATGACATTATTTGGGCATGACATTCTTTGGGCATGACATTATTTGGGCATGACATTCTTTGGGCATGACATTCTTTGGGCATGACATTCTTTGGGCATGACATTCTTTGGGCATGACATTCTTTGGGCATGACATTATTTGGGCATGACATTCTTTGGGCATGACATTATTTGGGCATGACATTCTTTGGGCATGACATTCTTTGGGCATGACATTCTTTGGGCATGACATTCTTTGGACATGACATTCTTTGGGCATGACATTATTTGGGCATGACATTCTTTGGGCATGACATTATTTGGGCATGACATTCTTTGGGCATGACATTATTTGGGCATGACATTCTTTGGGCATGACATTCTTTGGGCATGACATTCTTTGGGCATGACATTCTTTGGGCATGACATTCTTTGGGCATGACATTCTTTGGGCATGACATTCTTTGGGCATGACATTCTTTGGACATGACATTCTTTGGGCATGACATTCTTTGGGCATGACATTCTTTGGGCATGACATTCTTTGGACATGACATTCTTTGGGCATGACATTATTTGGGCATGACATTCTTTGGGCATGACATTCTTTGGACATGACATTCTTTGGGCATGACATTATTTGGGCATGACATTCTTTGGGCATGACATTCTTTGGGCATGACATTCTTTGGGCATGACATTCTTTGGGCATGACATTCTTTGGACATGACATTCTTTGGGCATGACATTCTTTGGGCATGACATTCTTTGGGCATGACATTCTTTGGACATGACATTCTTTGGGCATGACATTATTTGGGCATGACATTATTTGGGCATGACATTACTTGGGCATGACATTCTTTGGGCATGACATTCTTTGGGCATGACATTCTTTGGGCATGACATTCTTTGGGCATGACATTCTTTGGGCATGACATTCTTTGGACATGACATTCTTTGGGCATGACATTCTTTGGGCATGACATTCTTTG